GCGGCCTGAGTGGGCGGGGCGGTGGGGGTCGGGGGCGGTGGGGGTCGGGGGCGGCGGGGGCAGTGGGGGTCGGTGGGCACGGGGGCGGCACGGGTGTGGTGAGGAAGAGAGAGAGGGGTGGGGCGTGGGGCCGACCGTTTTTTAGTTAGGTTTAATTTCTTTGCCGTCTGCTAGCAGACGACAAAGAGCATAGCTAGTGGGGTGGGGCCGAGGGGGAACGACCATTAGGTTGGCTATTCTCTTTGCCGTCTGCTAGCAGACGGCAAAGAAAGTGGCGGTTAGGTGGTTGTCGTTAGTGGGCTACCCTCCCTCTTTGTCTTCTGACAAAGCTTCTACGCCGTCCGCTAACGGACGGCAAACACCCTCTTTGTTGTCCGCTCTTTCTTTGCCGTCAGCTTTCTGTAAGATAATGACAAAGACCTTCTTTGCCGTCAGCTAGCAGACGACAAAGAGCTAGCTGACGGCAAAGATCCAGATTCTAGTAGTGACTCCTTTGAAGCTTTGGAAGTATGGCCCCAATATGTTGTTTAACTTAACACTAATAGTTCCATTTTGAATGATTTTTCTCATCCACCCACACCAAGTACTTCCCAAAGCCTCTATTTTCTAGGCATTTCAACAAAAAATTCCAGTTCACTTTGTCATAAGCTTTTTTGAAATTCAGCTTAATAACAATCCCCACTTTCTTCCTAATATGAGTATAATGCAGGATCTCATGGAGAGATATAATCCCATCCATTATATGCTTGTTTTTAATAAAAGCATTTTGATGTTTACTAAAGAGAACATCTGCAAAGGGAGCCGCTCTATTGTCAAGCACTTTGGTGATCAGCTTGTAAGGACACCTAAGCAGGCATATTGGTCTGAACTGTTGTATCTTATTAGCTCCACTTATCTTGGGAAGCAGAGTGATAATACCATAGTTTAGCCTACGAACATCCAACTTTTCCTCATAAAATGCAAGAAATAGCCTCATTATGTCTTTTTTCACTATTTCCCAACAATGCTGATAGAATTCAGCAGGTATGTTATCAGGCTCATGAGCTCTGTTACTGTTCATTGTGAACATGGCTTGATCACATATAACCCTTTTTTTCTTGTGTGGGATCGATCACATATAACTTGATTGACCAAGAAGTACCTATAGGACGACTTCGGAATAGCAAACCGGTTATCATCATTTGCACAGTTCTTCCACGTTGAATCCTGACCACTCCGGTAGCCGATCGATCGCGCCACTGCCACTAGTGCATATATATTCATGGACAAACACATATGACAAACTACCCGGATTGGGACATACACTCCCGTTCCTAAACATACAACTTTCCCTTCAACTCAACTTGAAGATCAGTGACCTCCCCAAAACGCACCATGGAGGTACACAAGATAACCCAGTGAAACAAAGGCCTCATCTTCATGGCATGCACGGATCAAAATGCAGAAATGAAGCACAGTTCCAAGCCTTCCAACATGGCGCAGCTTCAAGACTCACATCAACTCTCCTTCGAGAAGCCGGCTTGGTCCTATCTGTAGTAAGTCAAGTCACCCTCCAGATCTTCACGTCGCAGTCCAACGAACCGCTGCAAACCAGAGCGGAGCAGCCGCCGCGCGAACTCTCCTCCCGCTCGCTGCATCGGTCGCCTCCCGTCAACACCAATGCCAGGCTCTTCACGGCAGCGCCATGGCCGTCCAGGACGGCCGAGCAGGAGTACTCGCCCTCCGCTCCCCGCCGCCACACCCTCACCGTCCTGTCCGCGGACCCGCTGCACGCCACGTCGCCGGCGGCGGCCAGGCACAGCACCGCCTCGACGTGCCCCCTGAGAGTCCTCGTGGCCGCCGCGCCTCCGGCGTCAAAGCCCTCCCACACGACGACGGACCGGTCGCACGAGCCGGAGTAGAGAACCAGCCCGCCGACGCCCATCGCCAGCGCGTTCACCGCCGACCTGTGCCGCTCCATGGTGCCGACCAGCGCGAGCCTCTTCTGCCCCGGGTTGCGCATCCACGCCTTGATCGTCCGGTCGGCCGACCCGGTGTAGACATGCCCGTCCGACGACACGGCGATGGCGTTGATGGCGTCGTTGTGGGCCGGGGCGATAGACTCCATGCAGCGGAGGCTGGGTAGGCGCCACACCTTGAGGCTCCGGTCCCAGGACACGGAGTACATGTACCCGCCGTCCGGGGACAGCGCGAGCGCGGTGACCGCGTCCACGTGGTGCACCCAGGTGCGACTCGTCTGCCGCCGGACGTCGACGTAGTTCTTGGGGAACAGGAACGTGCGCAGGCAGTCCGCGGTGGTCGGCAGCACGCCGTGCAGGGCGAGGTGGCTGCTCCCGCCTTTCCGCCGGACGGCGTGCTGCCACACCCTGATCTTGCCGTCCTGGTGGGCGCTGACAAGACCATCGCTGGTGGCCATGAGGCACTTTATGGAGCTATTGGTGACGGCAACAACAGAGCCCCCCTGTTGCACGGTCGTGCTGCCCATGTCCAGTGGCCACAGCCTGATGTGTCCGTCCGACGAGGCGACGTAGAGCGAGTTGCCGTCGACGGCGAGGCCAGAGACGTAGGAGGAGTGCCCCCTGAGCGTGGAGACGCACTCGTAGCGGCATGGGCTCAGGGGATGGGCCGGGGAAGGGGCACTAGATTGCGACGAGTGCGATATATCTTTGCACATCAAACCTTCTTCAGAGTTCAGGCTCATATTGCTGGACTTGCCTTCGCTGTTCTTGTCTGCAACTGCAAGATGAAATCATGGATTAAAATAGCAGAAAGGCAGGATCTCAGGGCAGTTATGCAAAAGCAACGAGATAAGCAAGCAAGCAATGTGCATGCAGAGAGAGACACGGAAGATTATAGTAAGAGGCTGTGGAGATTGACGAGTGACGCATCTATATAGCAGCACAGCAAGTGGGCTCAACACGGATTCTTGTTATCTTGTAATTGATGTGTTTTAGAAAGCTCGAAATGGATAGAGTGGAGGAAAATTCAACTGACAGGTACACAAGTAGGGCAAAAGGCAGCTTACAATGCTTTAGAATTTCTTCCCTTTTTGGCTGAAAACGCGTTAGATTATGAGGACAGGATTCCTGGTATATAAAATGCAGTCAGAACTAAAATCAATTGCAGCATTTCTATGCAGTCGTTATTTACCGCAGAGGAAAGTAAAAAGTTCTCGCAGAAAAAGAAATGCATATAACAGATAATGGGATTTATGCCTCGCAGGGGTAACATGGACTTGCCTTGCTCTTTCCGGAGTACATACTACATATAGGCTATAGCTTCATTTCCTTTCCTTTCCTTTCCTTTCTCCCCACCCCCCAGCATGCATGTTCTTCCAGCAAAGCCAATGATCACTGGACCGTGATCTATCTTTTCTCCATGTGACAGTGATTACCGCCGTAACCGATAAGGTACATCAGTTCCTTGCACCATTGCATGCTTCACTGTGAACATGCTCAAGGAAACCATTTATTGGGCAGTATTTATCAAACACCAAAATACTACATCCACCATAAATTTCAGAGACAAATCGGTACCAATTCTGCTGTGCTGCATATAACCGGAAAGCTACCGCAAGAACAGTATCATCATGAGCCTCATCAATGTGACGCTTATCTCACACTCAAAACACAAATTTTGGAGCAGCTACCTACTGCAAGGATGTATACCGAGGCTGAGGCATGATTCAATTCGGAGTGAAGTTAATGACCTAGAAACAAACCTGGTGGCATTGTTGTTTTATGGGAGAGCACTGAATCAAATGTGTTGCTTTAGCTGACAGTCTCACTCAGCATCAGCAGCAGTGGCCTGAAGCGCACAGCCACACAACCTATAAACTGAAAGGATTCTAAAATATAAAGTGGTATTCTGAAGACAGGATTGGCTAAATTATCCATTCATAGTGATGTATTGCGCAACAACTGACGAAACATGATTAAAAGTTGTCCATAATGGGATACAAGTGATGCCCTACAGATCTGTTCCTGGTTGCCCGGCTCAGCTTTTCGAGGTTCGGAATGGGCTTCAGGTCCAGGTTTTTTGGCCCGCAGGTCCATCCGGAAACCCACTTGATTATATAATAACATGAAAAACATTGGACTGAAAATAAATATGTCAGCATGGTAAATTAGTTGGAAACTGCAAAAAAGGCAATCTCCTCCAAGCCTGGAGCTTATACTAGTGTGTGACCTACAGTCATTTTCCAAAATAGCATTAGGTGTTTTGGTTCATTGCGAGTGAAGAAAAAGCTGAAATATATTGGTTGTGAGAAGAAGAAAACAGATACTGTACTAGGAAAGGAGGGAGCAGAGACAAGCGGACAAGACAAGTTTGAGAAGGCCAATCGCTCTTCCAATATGCAAGAAGAGGCAGACAACCACTTAACTAGCTGCATCATGGATTGTTTTATCATCATCAAGGTCGTTGAAACATGATGTAACAGAAACTGAGATAAGGATAGCCATACAGGAGCTGGGACCACTGTTAAAGCTTCTACAGAAAAGCATTCGGTGTATTCATAGATCTCACATGCTGTGCATAACTGCATTTGCATCAGTGATGTAAGTGCCTCTAAAAGTCTCCATGTCACTTACTTAGAGAGAGCATGACTAGCAAATCAAGATCACCATTGGATCTTAGAAAAAAGTAAAATACATCGGATGTCCTAATTCTTTTCAAACATGTCATTAAAACTTTATGTTACTCTTTGTTATAGTTTTTGTTTGGGTACTCTTTGTAATCATTGAAACTTTATAGGCTAGAAGTAGTTAAATTATTCATGGCAGTTCTTATGCAGCTCTAATCCCGTATGACATGCCTGGCGGGTTGACCACCACCAAGTAGGCAACGCTTGGCACAAAACACCTGCTGCTCCCTCTTGCCCACTTAGGCCGGCAATGAAGGAGCTCCCGCTGCGCCAGATCAACTATGGCTGTGAGGCCGGCGGTGCCTCGTCCACTCTGTGTCGTCACCATAGCGATAAGGTCTAGTGCGAGTAGCAGCCTCCACCGTGTCACGGCCCAAACACAGGGAGGTGATGAACAACCGGATCAGTACCAATATTAGGATACAATTTGAGGGATACAAGGGAAGTTGGGATGAGGAATCAGCAAAAGCAAGGAGGTGAGATGCAGTAGCAGTAGATGAGGAACTGGAGCAGGGGAGAGAGACCTAGAGACGATTCAATCATTCGATGCCTTCCCCTCTGCAACTCTCTTCGTTTATAACCATTGACGCCGACTCCTGTAGTTGGGCCAAGCCGCCCCTTCCGAAGTAAAGCCCAATGAGAGCATAGCGGCATGACCACTCGGGCATGACATTCTCGCCCCCTTAAAGTGCGGCTTGTCCTCAAGCCGATGACTGTGGTACCAAGGAGTAGGAGAACCACCGGGATCCCATGGTGTTTGCACTCGTAGGATAACAATAGCTGACCAATATTCAATATCAAGTGTAGCATAACCAACCGGAACACAATTACCATGATCTTCAAGGGAGCAGCCTTCGCGGCTCAATTTATCTGGATTACTGCCACGGAGTATCAACTCACAATCATGGTGTGTTCCACCAAGTGACTCAAACCGCCGTATATATGTGCTCGTATATTGACATTTGATCCTCATTTGAATTGTTGCCCGACCAAGAAGATTCAAGATTCCAGGATCCCATTGTGTTGCATTAGAGAACTCGTGTCCATGACCATGAGAATCTTGCACAGCCGGAACAAATAAGTATGATGTCTTAGGAAGCACCCGTTGTTCCACATTTTGAGTTGCGAGAATTGAACATAAATCCCCTAACAGCAAGCTCCAGCAAGCACAAATAAGAGGTGCGCGAATCGATTCCAATATACCCGATTCCTGATCAAGGATAGCAGACCTGGGAGCAGCACAAGGATTGTTGAA